TGGAAGAGCCTTGGTGGCGCAGCAGACTAAAGCACTGTTAAGTAACACCAGCTGCCTGCAATTACTGCAAGTTCAAATCTCACCAGGCTCAAGGTTGACTCAGCCTTCCATCCTTTCGAGGTAGGTAAAATGAGGACCCGGTTTGTGGGAGCAATAAGCTGACTTTGTATTAAAAAAAAGAACACCGCTTGGGGGGGGGGCAAAGCCCTACTAAGCAGGTATATACAAAAGTATGAAGGCTATTGCTTATTGCATTGTAAGCTGCCCTGAGTCTCCGGAAAAGGGCATATAAATCGAACCAATAAATAAATAAAGAGCATATAAATCGAACCAATAAATAAATAAATGCATCTCTCTATTTGAACTAACATTTTTAGATACCAGTGTTGCTTCTCATCCAGTGTTCAATAATTGTACTAATGACTAGCTGTAAATCTCTTTATTGGGTAGCATTTTTTGATTAAATTAATTGGACATATACATATAATGAAAAAAATTATAGGGAATGTGGCACCATAGAAATAAGTATTAATAAATAAGTAATAATAAATACTTCATTCATAGTGGTAAGTGGGTTAGTCTTAATATATGGATCTTAATATTTTCCTAAGGGCTGATAACATTTGCATTCACATAAAATGAATTTAAATTATCTACTTGTGTCCATAGAGAAATTGATGTATATTAAAGGATTTATTAGTCATATAATTTTTTTAACTTGAATTAATTCCTATTAGTTTGGCATTATAGCAGTATCTTGGCTTGTCAGGAATATGTGGCATTAACCTGGAGATTTTTTTATTAGTCAGAATGGGTGATAAGTTTAAGTAACCGAGCAATTTGAAATCATCATTTGATTTTCCATTGAATTAGGGTAGGGATGTCTTATATTTTACATCACATCTAATATTGCTTGCATCATTCAGAAATTCAAAATGTGGCCCAAAAATCCATGTGCCACATGGGATTCTGGTCAGAGGCCAGTTTACTGGAATATAGTTGAGATTCTTATACACACCCACCCACATGTGCGCACACACACACACACATATACAATGAGACAGAGACAGAGACTAACACACACACACTGATGGATTACTTGGTTGATTGATTATGTGCCCTCAAGTCAGCGTTGACTCCTAGCAACTACATAGGTAGATTTTCTCCATGATGATCGGTCCTAATCTTCCAATGATGCATTCTTCACATCTGTGTCCATCCTCCTTGCTAGTTGTACTCTTCTCTTTCCTAATACCATTTCCAGCACTGGAGCCTTCTATAGAGAGCTAGTATTCACATGGTGTGTCCAAAGTAAGATAATTTGAGCCTGGTCATTTGTGTCTGTCATGAAAACTCTGGGTTGATTTGTTTGATGTTCTGTTTGTTTTCTTGGCTGTCCACATGTGCTACCCAACTAATTACTGCAATATCACTGTTGTCTAGGCAGTTGTATTTAACCAATAATCTATTCTTTTCACTCAACAAGTGAAATCTTCCAATGGATTTTCTTTCTCAATGTTCATTTAACCAGTTCCTAGCAAGCCAGTATTCAGGACATTCAGCACTCAAAGCAAAGCTTTGTTACAGATTAGTTATTTGCTTAACTTACCATTGAGAAGACTTTTGAATTAGGTCCCACCTCAGCCATGACAACCAACTGGTTGAGCTTGGAAAAATCTCTCTCTCTCAGCCCAGCAGGGTTATTGTGGGAAAATAGGAGGAGGAGATAGGTATGTTGGATATGTTCTCTGGCTTGAGTTATTTGTAATAATAATAATAAAGGCGGAATATAAATAAAATAAAATGGAATAAAATAAAATAAATAAAATACTCTAATAAATTTAATTCATTTTTTAATCCATAGTTTCTGTTTTTTCCCTATCTTCCCCCCCACAGTTTTATATTTCAGTACCCAAGAATGAGTCCAAAATGATTAAATATTTTCTTATTTTTATTGTAGGTGTTACAGCATATAGTTGTACATAGTTTATACACCAGGTACTGAAAATACTGTATTTCAAAAAGCCCTTCCTTTATTCTATGGATTATAAGGCAATTACTAGTTACAGGCCCTAATCACCACACTTAATGGAACTACAGTCTATTTACCTGTGGAAGAACCAGAGAAACCCAACAATATATTACTCAGAAATATTATAGGTGTCTTGGGAAACTGCTGACTTCACTGTAAAAACATTTCAGATTTTGTCCCTCAAAACAAAATAGCAAAATATGTTAAATATCATTTATTTTTATCATTACAGTGCTATAAGTAGTAATGTAATTTCATTAATCTTTATGTTTTACAAATGTGATGGAATGATAGCTGCCATTTGGTGGGTCATTGATTTTTAAGATTAAATCACTACCTTAAGGAAATGAGACATCAGCAGCCTATATTTTAACCATGAAACATGCCCATATGCCGGAAGTTCCCATACAGTATAACTGAGATCCTTATAACATTGAAAACCTCTGGTGGCACTAGAGGTGGTATTCAGCAGGTTCTGACCAGTTCTGGAGAATCGGTAGCGGAAATTATGAGTAGTTTGGAGAACCAATAAATATCTGATTGGCCCCGCCCCCATCTATTCTCTGCCTCCCGAGTCCCAGCTGATTGTGAGGAAATGGGGATTTTGCAGTAACCTTCCCCTGGAATGGGGAGGGAATGGAGATTTTATAGTATCCTTCCCCTGCCATGCCCACCAAGCCACACCCACAGAACCGGTAGTAAAAAAATTTGAATCCCACCACTGGGTGGCACACAGCATAAATCAAGGATTTAAGATCACATGATTTATTTATTTTCATTCTGTTTTGTTTATATTTACAGCATTTAGATATTACAGATTTTAACCACAATACCGTATATGGAGTTACAGATAGCATCCCCATTTGCTAATGACACCAATTATTTAGGGTAATTAAAACAAAGATATAGCAAACTCTGCCAAAATAATTTCCCTAGATTATAGGAGTGGATTTAAAAGGGCAAATGATTTGTTGTAAGTAAATTCCTAAAGATATGCATCAAGGGGCATCGGAGGGGGAATCAACTTAATTTCTAGAAAACAATAATAATTCATCTCTAAAGATTAAGAAAGTTATCACTTGATGCATTGTGACCCTTAAAAATGTATGTGATAATAAATAAATTAGTACTCAAGGTGCCATTAACTGCTGTCATTGGTTTTAATACAGTTGCCCTTCTAAAATAATTGTTCTATAAGCACTAGTGAGTTTGAATTAGTGATGATACACAAGAAAGCTAATCTATCATTTAACTGATAAAGTTTAATGAAGTAATGGCATCATTAAATTTCCGTAAAACAGGAAAATATGGGGGTTTATTAAAGGAAGAATTGAAACTGCCAATATTCTAATGCCTTTTTACAAAACTGATATGATCAAATTTAGACTGTAATATACCTTTAAAAAGTGTATTGTACAAAGTAGAAAAGATAAAGAGAAGGGCAGCTAAGGTAATAATTCAGCTAGAATAAGAACTGGGTCAATCATCTGTGATCTCTAAAAACCATAATGTCACTGTTTTAATTATCTGTCTATAATGTCACAAAAGACGTTTTTCAATGTTTATTCTAGTCTCAGGAAAAAAAACACTATTCAGTTTATATCTTACAATCATATAATTCACCTCTAAAAGTTAATATTACGTCTGAAAACTTTGACCTCATTCTGTTGTCCTGTTAGTTAATTTATGCACACATATTTTTTTAACATTGTGCTGAGCTCAGTTGTGATTGATATGCAAATTACATGTGCAGTTCTCTTAATTACAATTACTGAATACTGGGTGTAGTTCAGCATTTCCTATATTTGTTTAATGGTTTAGAAAAAAGGAGTCTAATTTTGAAAAATGCCCTCATCTGTTTGTTCTCTCTTGCTTCTCACGGATTTCAGTTTTGATGTTGTTTATAGAGTTCACAAAGCCAGTTGGGGTTTTGTTGCTCCATGCTACCACAGAGTAGAAGTCATAGCAAATACTATGTAGTGTTGTTTCTTTCATCTAGACTAGAACTAGTTAATTGTATGATATGGCTAAAGTAGCCATTTTGTTGGCATCTTTTGTTAGCATTTCCTTCAAAATGTCATCTTACACCTGCTTTTGTTTGACATTTGATCCCAAATATTATTTATTAGCCGAAAGGTTGGGGGAAGCAATTTTCTGCCTAGAGGTTTCATCCTTAAAGAAGTAGTTCTAGAAAATTAAAGTCAACCTATTTTTCAAGATTTGCAAATGGTACATGTATAATTCATGATATACTAGCATGTTCTAAATCAGGAACTGTCAAACCTGTCAGTTACTGGGCACAAAAAATTAAAAAGAAAGTGTACATTATTTAAAAAAAAATCTCAAAAAGAATCCAGCCAAAATTTCCCAGCATTTCAGCTGTTACCCTTCAGAGCCCATACCAGCTCACATAAGAACTTTTCGCAAATTTTGTGAGATTTGATGATCTCAAAAAAAATCTGAGGAATATAATATCTTTAGAAAGACGATTTGGGGGATTCTTCAGATACCATCTAGCTCTGTCAAGAGCTCTGATTCAATGCATGAATAACAGAATCCAATGCATTTAAAATAATAGAAATATCTACTCATGTTACAGTTAAGCTAGCCAGGCGTACATTGTTGCTCTATGATGTTTAAAAGGATATAGATGAATAGTAGATATTATATGTTACTCATTTCAAACTTGTCTGTTTTTAGTGTGTTATTTTTGTAAAAAGACATTGATTCCCCCCTCCCCTCTTTGATAATTTATGTGCAATCTTAACCTTAAATTAAAATATTATAACTTAGATGGTTGAAATTAAAACAGTTACATTCATAATGGTCTTTTGATATTTGCCAATGAAGTTGTCTTACTCATCCTCGATTTAAGTTATATATGAATAATTCTTAAATGTTCGTCTTGGTTAAGAATGCTGAGACTGGTTTGGAATGACACATTCATGTTTTATTTTGAATTTAACAGGTACTCTGGATATTGAAGAGAGAAATCGTCAAATGAAAGTGAACAAGTACAAACATGTAGCAGGATCAGATTCCAGGCTGGAGCAAGATTATCATTCCAAGGCAAGGGCATTTTGTTTTGAAAAACAGCAAAATATGTAATTGTCTGACTTGATGAGGCAGTAAGATGCTAGTAATTGTTTCATGGGTAGCATGTGTAATTAAGAATGCAATGCTGATATGCATGTTTATACTGGGAAGTAAATTAGACTACAAGAATTCTTTTCAGCTCCTACCTTTCCCCTTACCTAAGCTTCTAGAAAAGCCCTTACAAAGGTCAAAAATTTTGAGAGTATTCAGAGGGTGATATCTGGAGCCCTATGGTTTTGTTCTCTGACAGAAACCTTACTTTCCTTCTATGCACTCAAAAAGTGCTCTCTGCAAAAAGTATAAAAGGCAAGACAGTACGTAGCAGTAGTATTCACTCCCATGGGAATGGGTATAGCTAGAGCTAAAAGATTCTGAATTATTTTCAAATCAATAATTGTGCCAAATTCAGTGATTCTGTGTGAATAAGAACTTGTTTACCAAGATTAGAAATTACCAGGAATGTTAAACAAATGTCCATTTTAAAAGTATTAAATGTTAAATTAATTTTGTGGTGAAGTGCAGTAATCAGCCATGAGTTTAGTAGCCCATAAATGATGATGAAATAATTATTTGAATTTAATGTTAAAACCTTATACTCCATTCTTTACCCTTGTGTGTAGAAATATCTTGGAACCTTCTTTTTGTAGTTCAGCATTGAGGGCTTTAAGATTCAGTCCTTTGTGTAATGTATTGGAACATACTATTACGGATGTGAGCAGATGATTACTATCTGGCACATAAATGTGAGGTGTGCTTAGTTGCTCCAATGCGTATGGATTTACTTTGGTATCCATTAAGATAAATGCAGAGGAATTCAATTCCTTAGCTCTTTGGAAGAGCTACATTTCCCTCAGGAAGCCTATAACTTGTCCTGTGCAACTGTCTCACAATTCTAGGAAAAGACCTACTTTCTTGAAGGAGTTGCAGACTGCTACTACATTTATGCTTCATACGTTCTACAACACCATTTTGTAACTCAATCCAAAGCTCTGTACAACCCTACAGATAGTTTTTGTTGAATTCTGTATAGAATGATTGGCTGATAGTATTATCCTTGCTGTTGGAACACAAAACCTAATCCTGAATAAACATTAGTCAAACAATGTTATGCTATGTCCTGCTTATTCATCTAATTTGATTTAAAAAAAAAAAGAAGACTGATATACTCTTAGTAAATTAGTGCGCTATTTGACTGTTCATCAAGTGTCAATTATGAGCGAATGTTTTTCTTATATTCATTATGATCTTAGAAATATTGGTACAAATGATTTATAGCTGACATTACATATATGGTGTTTGCTTAAAACAACTACATATCTTATCATGAAACTTGCAATTATTTTATGAAGTATGACTACTAGCGTCGATAATATGGTGGGGTTTTGTTTTTGAGATTACACCCTCCAATATGTTTTTATCAAGCAAGTTACTGGGTTACTTTCAAGTCTTCAGAGATCCTTTTCAGGGGGTAATAGTGCTGCTGCCAGAGGGAGGAGTTGATAACTAGAAGGCTGTGATTTTTGTGATGGAAAGTATTGAAGAAGTGGATCCCCAGGAGGGAGGGGGTGAATTCCAGAGGAGTAAGAGTCTATTAGCCAAGTTATTATGTGGAAGAGAAAGGGGGTAAAGAGAGGCCCTCCCTAATAGTTTGCATATTGTAGATGTGGATAGTAGAGTCTTCTTAGTCTGGCAAAATTTTGTCTACAGGTGTGAAAAGCTTGGAAGAATTGAAAAGTGTCATTCTTGGTTTTGGGCCTGACAGTTTTAGCCTTCTTTTAAGATGGCCAGTGGACTTTCACAAAATGCTTTTTTTTTTTTTTTTGGTTGAACTTAAAGTTCTGGTCTCATTAAGATTATTGAACTCTTCTACATTAAATTAATATTATCAAAATGAAAAGTAGATAGTGTGGATTCCAGTTTTGTAGTTGGCTATGTAGGACATCTTAGACGATTAAACATTTGAGCATTGACTGATTGACTAATTACATTACATATGCATGAAAGTTACAAGCTTCAATATTCTGATATTCTGCTGCGTGCACACTCACATGCATATCTCCTACAGAGCTTAACCCTCAGACATTATGAAAGTGTCTTAACTCATAAGTCACATAAGCATAAGCAGAAATGAAATATACATCTTTTTTTGATTCGCACATTTTGTACATAAAATATGAAGTGGTAACAATTCACTCCTTGCAGTGGATGAAGCTAATTCCACTTCTATTACTTTGAGCAAAGACCCTGAGATGACTGCTACATACTATGATGATGGAAAAAATGAAAATATAATGTCATAAATCCCGAGCCTTTCATACTTGCATCCTGAGATCACAACATATTTTTCATTCTATCCCCACCTCCATAGACCAGTTGTCAGTCAGAGATTATCAGAGATTCCAAGTTTTATTTTTATTTATTCATTTTATTAAATTTCTATACCGCCCTTCTCCCGAAGGACTCAGGGCAGTGAACAGCCAAAAGATAAAACACAGAGATACAAAATTTAAAATAGATTAAAACAGATTAAACAATTTGGCTAAATTTTAAAAATATCCCATAATTAAACAAATTAAAATTAGTGTTTAAAATTTAAATTTTAAAATTTTAAAAGGGAGAAGATTTAGGCCAGGCCAGTTGATGAAATAAAAGAGTTTTAAGCACGCGACAGAAGGTGCGCAGATCCAGGATCCTCTGTATCTCCGGGGAGAGCTCGTTCCAGATCGTAGGTGCCCCCACAGAGAAGGCTCTCCCCCTAGGGGCCGCCAGTAAACATTGTTTGGCCGACGGCACCCGGAGGAGCCCCTCTCTATGGGAGCGTATTGGCCGGTGGGAGGCTATTGGTGGTAGCAGGTGGTCCCGTAGATAACCAGGTCCTAAGCCAAGGAGCGCTTTAAAGGTGGTAACCAGAACCTTGAAGCGCACTCGGAAGACCACCGGGAGCCAGTGCAGCTCACGCAGGAGAGGTGTTACATGGGAGCTCCACGTTGCTCCCATAACCACCCGCGCGGCTGCACTCTGCGCCAGTTGGAGCCTCCGAGTGCACCTCAAGGAGAGCCCCATGTAGAGAGCGTTACAATAGTCCAGACGAGAGGTGACAAGGGCATGAGTGACCGTGTGTAGGAAGTCCCGATCTAGAAAGGGACGCAACTGGCAGATCAGGCGAACCTGATGAAAAATCCTCCCGGTCACGGCCGTCAAGTGCTCTTCTAGAGACAGCCGTGAATCCAGGAGGACGCCCAAGTTGCGAGCCCTTTCCGTGGGGGCCAATGATTCGCCCCCAATAGTCAGCGATGGCACCAGCTGACTATATCGGGACGTCGGAAACCACAGCCACTCAGTCTTGGATGGGTTGAGCCTGAGCCTGTTCCTCCCCATCCAGATCCGTACAGCCTCCAGGCACCGGGACATCACTTCAAGGGCATCGTTGTGGTGGTCCGGGGTGGAGATGTACAGCTGGGTGTCATCAGCGTACTGATGGTACTTCACCCCGAAACCACGGATGATCTCGCCCAGCGGCTTTACATAAATGTTGAACAAAAGGGGCGAGAGGACCGATCCCTGCGGTACCCCACATATGAGGGGCCTCAGGGTCGACCTCTGCCCCCCTGTCAACACAGACTGCGACCGGTCGGAGAGAAAGGAGGAGAACCACCGTAATACGGTGCCTCCCACCCCCAACTCTTCCAACTGGTGCAGCATGATATCGATGGTATCAAAAGCCGCTGAGAGATCTAACAGGACCAAGACAGAGGAGCAACCCCTGTCTCGAGCCCTCCAGAGATCATCAACCAACGCGACCAATGCCATTTCCGTGCTGTACCCAGGCCTGAAACCCGACTGGAACGGATCTAGATACGACGTTTCATCCAGGTACTGGGGAAGCTGTCGTGCAACCACACTCTCAACAACCTTCGCAACGAAGCGAAGGTTGGAGACTGGACGATAATTAGCCAATACTGCTGGGTCCAGGGAAGGCTTCTTGAGGAGAGGCCTCACCACCGCCTCCTTCAGGGCGGCGGGGAAGGCACCCTCACCCAATGAAGCATTTATAATCCCCTGGAGCCAGCCTCGCGTCACCTCCTGGGAAGCCAGTACTAACCAGGAGGGACACGGGTCCAACAAACATGTGGTCGCATTCAGTCTACCCAGAATCCTGTCCACGTCATCTGGGGTCACAGGATCAAACTCGTCCCAGATAACATTCTCAAGACCTGCCCCCGTCACCCTCGCTGGACCTACCCAGTCGGAGTCCAGACCTTCCCGAATCTGAGTGATTTTGTCATGCAGATATTGAACAAAGTCCTCGGCTCTTCCCTCCAAGGGGTCCTCCCGCACTTCCTGGTGGAGCAGGGAGCGGGTCACACTAAACAGGGCGGCCGGGCAATTACCTGATGACGCAATAAGAGCAGCACAATGAGTACATTTTGCTGCTTTTATCGCCACTAGGTAATTCTTAATATGAGATCTTACCAGTGTCCGGTCCGATTCAGAAAGACTAGCCCTCCAACTACTCTCTAGGCATCTTTTCCGGCACTTCATCTCCCTGAGCTCCTCAGTAAACCAAGGAGCCAGGTGAGAACGGCGCTGGGTCAGAGGCCGCAAAGGCACGACTTGATCCAGAGCTCCAGTGGCCGCTCTATCCCAGGCGGCCACTAGGTCTCCAGTCGAGGCGTGTGCAAGATCCTCGGGGATTGGCCCAAGCTCCCTTTGGAACCTATCAGGTTCCATCAGGCGCCTGGGGCAGTACCATCTTACCGGTTCTGCCTCCCTGCGGCAGGGTACCGCGGTTTGAAGGTCAAGGTTAAGGAGAGAGTGATCCGACCATGACAAGGGCTCAATGACTATGTACCCTATCTCAAGATCACTCAACCACTGTCCAGAGACAAAAAACAGGTCCAGTGTGTTTCCCCCCCTGTGCGTAGGGCCATGAATTAGCTGGGTCAGGTCCATGGCCGTCATGGAAGCCATGA